TGTATAAGAGACAGAGGTGAGAGAGAACAAAGAAAGGCTTTATTAAATGAAGCTCCCACTTCACACTGTATCCTTAATGGTAAATCCTTATTCACAGACATATTTCAGGTGACCTATCGACCCTTCAGTGCAGGCAGCTCTACACGGTCCCTTCTAGTTCCTAGGAGGCCTTTGGTCCTCTGCTGAGGCCTGGCTTGCTGCTTCCTTTTCTTAACGTGTGGGCTCTCAAGTCTCTCCATTCACTTGGCTGCCAACACTGAGTTCTCCAGGGACAAACCCCTTGGCCATGGCCTTGGAGATGGCTCAACGCAGAGGGACCATGAGTCAGACCTGAGATAACTCATACCAAAATAAGCACTGGGGAGCATGAAGATTCAGGAGAATTTAGGACTCACTGGACACAGAAATTCAACCTGTGATGCAATCGCTGAGCAAAATGGTGGGAATACAAGGAGGTTGGGAGAGATATATCAGATGGCAAGCTGCAAAGGGAATGGGGGAAATGTGAAAATAAAAAAAATCTTGGGCAGGAAGAGTGAAAACATGGAAACAACTTGTGATAAGCCCGAATTCAGGGAGTAGGGACCTGCATGACAAGAACTATAAAACTATTTTTTCATGCAACAGTTAGCAGATGTGTCGAATTCCTCCCTAAGGCCAGAATTTTACATGAACTCTAGAAAAGACTGAACAAAAGCTCAGATTCACCACAGGCTAGCAAACACAACCTGCAGTAGGTTCAGGAGAACCCTGGACATGAAAAATTACTCTGAAGCTTACAGTTAAATATCTAGAAATTTTTCAAACACTTCAGCAGCTTTGTTTTTCTACCCACATTTGACTATATGCACACTCACAAAACAGGACAAGCATTTTAAGCATCCTAGCAGCGTGCCAAGCTAAGTGCCACCGACGTGGACATAAGAGGAAGCAGAGAGAACCACTGCTGTTCTGCCCTGCAAAAACAGAGGCAGTATAAGGTACAAACCCTTGAAGAGCTATTAAATGGTTTTGAGACTCATTTACAAGCAGAGCTACACTGAAACACTCACATGTTAAACCAAGATCCCCAAATTGCGTTGCAGTTTACTCTCTTTGGAAAGTGAAAGCTATTACTTACATAAAAGAAGCCTCAATGTTAAAAGAGCATTAAGGTTAAAAATAACCTAGCATTCAATTTAGAAAGTGACAGAGAAAGTTGCCTGCAATCTTCAGCTTGGCCTCTTTGCATGTATGCCTTAAGAGTATGAAAATATTATGTGTCATTTTATCTAAAAAAAAAAAAAATAAAAATCTATGCTTCATTCAAATCATGGATGAATGGATCAATCAGTATTATGCAATGAAGGATAACACAGCCTGACCTGTTCCTACCTTATTTATTGCATTATCTATAATGTGCACAGCATATGAGGCATGAGATGGTTAAAAAATAAGAAGAAAGAATTAGCTCACAAATTCAGGTAAATAGGTTTTAGGCATTATACTGGATCACTCTGCTACCTCTATCGCAGAGGTTCTACAAGATGCTAGATACTTTTTTAAAACTGGAGGACAGGAATTCAGTGGTAACACATTTCTCCAGGTATCATCAAATGAGGTATTCAATTACTTTTAGAACAGAAAAAAAACCCCACATTATTCATAGTGAGGGCTTCTCTCATCCCTTCTTTCTGCTAGTTATTGCTAGCCCTTCAATAGTTCAACAATGACTAAAAGACTAAGAGTAATAACAGATAAGGAGTGATACTGCTTCATATATCTTAAAGAGCAGCACATAGACCCATGTGATCCTTACTGCTCCATTTGCACTTACAGTTGCTTTCAAGATAGAAAAGGCTAAGCATTCTGAAAAAACAGTGCCCGAATATTTCATGCTGTATTCCTAAAGTCAGCAGGTACTTCTAGGTACGTACCTATGTCCATGTGTGTATGTCTACACCCTTCCCTTGCCTAGGTTCCTCATCTGTAAAGTGGGAAAAATATTATGTCCTCATCTCCTACAGTTGTGAGAATACTTGAGCACCAGACAAAATTCCATGGGCAAGGGGAATCACTCTGTATTATGTCCCACTTGGAAAACAACAGACACAACATGGAGCTTCTACTGAAACAGTGACAATGCATAACATTATGTAAACACTCCTTCAGTGAGTATGATGCACTCAATACAGAATGTAGGATGGAAAAATAACATAAGATCATGTAATCAAAGACAATATAAGGATCTCACAAATAGATCAAAACAAAAGTTAAGACCAAGACCCATGTCTAACAATAACAAACACAAGCAGAACAGACTCACAGCATAGAAGTTTGTTTAAATACAAATCTAACAAGGTGTCAATGCCTTGATTACCTTAGAACTCAAATGTCTATATGTAGTTAAAGCTGCTCAATTTTGAGATTTGAGTTATAGTAAATTATAAAGAACACAGAACAAAAGAAATTTAATTCTAGAACATATATTGTACTACACACACACACTACAAATTATTTTTTTAAAAAAATCTTAGTTTAGATAATTAAGAACTGTACGCACTTTAAAAATGTATTTTCAAGATGCTCGTAAATTACATGTTAGACATGTTAGACATTTAACTAAAAAAAATTTCTCATTTATAGGTGGAAGAGAGGTAATAAGCATATTATAACTGCCCTTTTTTGAATAAATTTTTACTGACAATAGGAACCTGTTATCAAATTGTATATGAGTGAGACCTCTCCAGTCATCTAGTCCAAACCCACATTAACTATGATGAATTACATGTTGTAATTTCCATAAGGTTACCTGCTCTCCACGAGAGCCTCTCTACTGAGATTTAGAAATGCACCTTTAGGTAACCTGCTCTGTACACCAAATGGTATTAAAAGAAAAGCTGAATCTAATTAACTTAAAAATCACTGCTTCTCTTGCCATTAGCATAGCAAATATTTCTCAGTCACAGTAACCGTGCAATGCATTCTTTTTATCGCTTGCTGATAACTTTTATTTTAACTCCAGATGGGCCTCTGGAGTTCACACTACTGTTATTTTCAGGTTGGGCTGTATCACACAGTTGCAAAATAGAACAACTGCAGTTTGTGCACAAGTAGTTATTTCTCAACAACGCACTATTATCTTTGTGCTGCCTGACCTAACTAGCTACCAGGTGATTTCTGGTTCAGGTTTAAGGTGTTGGTTTTGACTTAGGCAGTCATAAAAAGTCTTTGGGGAATTTAGAAGTCTCTGGTAGAAGAACTCTGATGAACGCTGATGTAGTAATTTTACAAATTATCCTTCCACTTGTGCTCCTGTAAAATACACTGCTCAAACTCCAACTCAGACAGCAATGCATCTATCAAGCACAGCAACTTTTGCTTAGAATCTAGGTTGCGTTTATTTTTTGTTGTTGTTGTTCAGTAATAGAGAAAGCATAAGGACTCAAAACCCCCTGAGTTCAGTCTTCAAGTATTTTTACAGTAAAACAAGAAAAAACAAATGTAAGATTCACAGTTCTTTGGAGGCATTGATACTATCACCCTTTTGTTCATAAATGCAAGGGTTACGGAACTCAAGAAGTGCAAAATCAAGGGTCTGGGTTTTCTGTTCAAGGAAACTAAAAATCCATTTCTTTCACCTTGCAGGGAAGTGCTTTCCACCACTGTAACAGAGAATACTCCAGCGCAGGGTGTTCCTGAAGCTCTACAGAATTGTTTAAACATCTGCAACAGAATAGCCTGAGAAACCTAACGTAGATTGTGGTAGGTGATCCCATTTTACATTTGTTTGATCAATCATTGATCACAGATTTAAACCAAGGCCTCCCACAACTGTTTCTTTAATTCTAGGTTATAAAATCATTCTAAAAGGAGTTTTCCCCCAGTGTAGACATGTACTTGTGCTACTGTAAAATATGTTATTTTAAAACACTAAAAAGCCCTGT